AATGAGATATTTTTAAATGTACATGACAGTTCAATAAAACACTGGATCCAGGCCAGGTGTGGTGGCTTACACCAGTGATCCCAGCACTTTGGGAGGCCAAGGTGGGCATGTCACCTGTGGTCCAGAGTTCGAGACCAGCCTGGCCAACATGATAAAAAGCCATCTCTATGAAAAATATAAAAATTAGCCAGGTGTAGTGACAGGCACCTGTAGTCCCAGCTACTCAGGAGGCTGAACCCAGGAGGCAGAGGTTGCAGTGAGCCTGTATCATGCTTCTGTACTCCAGCCTGGGCAACAGAGCAAGACTCTGTCTTCAAAACAAAAAAAGGTTAGAACCAGAACAGAGCTAGCAGCTTTCATAAAAAGCCTCAATCTCACCTCTACCTCCCTATCTTAGTTGAAAACAAATAATATTATACAGAAAACCATAATAGCTAATACTATCTAAAGCATATTCTTGAATACAGAAACTGAATCAGATGCTCTTAAAAAAGGAACTTCATACAGATTTATTTTTAATCATAGGCTAAAAACAGGACTTTAGGAATTCATAAGCCTTTCTTTGAAGTTAGGAATTTAGATGATAACTGGCTAGCTCTCAAATTAAAGGAGAAAAAGAGAAGGAAGAGATCACTTACTTTTCTCCATTGTATATGTGCTAATAAAATATGTAAAGAGTACAGCATAACAGTCAAAGAAAGGAAAAGCCAAGGAAAGAGTTAAAACAGTACATTTGACTCCTATATCACTAGTGGTTACCAGCATCACCAGGAGGAACTTCATTGAAAATCTGGGATAGAGAACTGTGATTGCCAGGGAACAAGGAGGGGTTGTTGTACAAAATCAAAGAGGTAGCTAGCACCAAGGAGTGAGGGAGTTCTGTGGTGATGGAACAGTTCTGATCCTTATTACAGTGGTATTACATGAATCTACATACAGATAAAACTGCATAAAACAACAAATGAAAAAAATGAAGGCAGATTAAGAAAATGCTGAAAACCAAACAAAGTCTGTAGTGTCATTAAGAGTAATGTACCAATGTCAATGTCTTGGTTTTGATATTGTACTACAGCTGTATGAGACGTCACCATTGGGGGAAACTGGGAAAAGAATACACTGGACTTCATATTTTTGCAACTTCTTGTGAGATTATAATCATTTCAAAATAAAAAGTTTTAAGTAAAGGTACAACAATATCTTCAATCTCATAAGCAAGAAGAGAACAGGGTTTGCTTTTTGGAGGTAAAGAAAATAGTTTTCAATGCAATTCCACCATCTATATTAACGAGGATAAACAATGGCAGTTTCAGGCACACGTTGGTGGCCAGGCAGTTGCAGATGATAATCTAAAGCCAGTATTGACTAAGTAATGGGTGTATACTATAGAGGTAAAATTTCAGAGCATGTGTAATACACTCTGCCTCTACTTATTCTTCAGAGGGTAGTTGAGTGGTAGCACAGCGACCAATGCCCAAATATTGAACCACGTGTCTCTCACCCTGTGACTGGTAGGAAAAGAGATCCCTTACCTCAGCAGATTTGGACACACCACCAATGCCTGAAGTATGTCTTCCACCCTCTTTGGGATGTCCCCTTGTCCTTCGTGTAGCTGAGGTACACATGCTTGTGCCAGCTCCCATTCTCCCCTCCGCAGGCATTCACAGAAAAATCCAAAAAGCTGCTTCTGGGAAGCAGCTTCCTCTTTTCCAAATGGATGATTCATTTTCCCAGCACAGAGTGCAGGGAGATACAAAGAGATGAGTTACGCCGAACACATTCTCAATGTTCTCATTCGCGGAATACCTCCTAGAAACAACACACACACCAGTGAGAAGAAACAGAAGGCACTGTATTAAGACAGAGCAGCAACTACTGGCCCGTCTGGGAGAGGCGGGACTTACTTGCCTAAGTATCGTTTTAAGTTTAATTTGCCACATTACTTTTTGAAAACACTTTCTCCAAGGGGCGTATCCCAACTCTTTACGCGATTCCTATATTTCACAATATTAAGAGTCGTATTTGCCCCAGACGCAGACCCATAACTCTACTTCCGTATTCCCCGCTGAACTTCACGCCCAGTCCTGACTCCAAATCCCCAGATGGTCGCCTCCTCAAGGGTGAGAAATTTAGCAGGAACCTCTCTCTATTTTGAGCCCTCTGTTAAGGCAGAGATTGGAGATGAGGAGACGAATCTGTGTCATAAGTCGAAAGCAGTGCAGGGGTGGGACTCAAGGACGCTTCTTGCAAGGGTCGTGGAGAGGGACCCCTCCCTCTCAGGGGTGTCTCACACTCACCTGCTCCCGGCGCCCAAAGCAATAGAGCTCTCAGCGCAGCCATGTTTGAGCCGAGTCAGGTGACAGATCCCACTCCGAAAGGCGGTGGTGAGAACGACTGAAAGCCCCACTCCTATTGGCTCAAGGCAGGGAAGATGGAAATTAAATGCCATATTGGTTGGAGTCACGTGACGCAACCCCTCCGGGAGGAAGGAAAGCTAGAAAGCTCGGAAAGAGGAAATCAGCTAACTGGCTGCAGACCATCTCTCTCAATTGTGACAGCTCCTGCACTCAATACTTTCAGTTCTCCATTCAGCCAAGCAGGTGGCGGGAAGAGCTGTGCCCCTGGATTTTTTTTTCTTCCGCTCTCTTTTCTCCTTAATATTTGGAGTCAACATTTAGTGAACGCCAACCAGTGATGGTGTTTTGCCAGGAGCGGGGGATACCCAGAGTTAGGAGAACTGGGCTTTCCTCCATTATTATTCTTTCTACTGGGCTTTTTTGTTCCGGAACTCTTAGGTCTGAATTTCCATATTCTTCTGCTTCACTGCATTCATTTATTTGCACATTTACCTGACAGCTGTTAACGGAACGGTGTGCGAGGCTTTATTTTATTTTTTTAGAGAAAGGGTCTCTGTCGCTGGAGTGCGGTGGAGTGATCTCGGCTCACTGCAACCTCGATTTTCCTACATCAAGTAATCCTCAGCCTCGGCCTTCCTGTAAGGCGTGCGCCACTACACTGGGCTTAAGCCCTATTCTCTAAGTTGAGTAAATTGAGGTTCCTCTCCTTAAGGGAGGTGCAGGCCAAAAATTAGGATACAGTGGGCGAAATTATAAGATAGAAGTATGCATAAGAGATCAGAGAGCAAAGAATGAGTAAAGGTTTTTCGCAAACATAATAACCTGAAACCAAGTCTTTTTTTTTTTTTTTGAGACGGAGGCTCGCTCTGTCGCCCAGGCTGGAGTGCAATGGCGCGATCTCGGCTCATTACAACCTCTGCCTCCTAGGTTTAGGCCATTTTCCTGCCTCAGCCTCCTGAGAGCTGGGACTACAGGCGTGCGCCACCATGCCCGGCGAATTTTTGTATTTTTAGTAGAGAAGGGGGGGGGGGGTTTCACTGTGTTGGTCAGGCTGGTCTCGAACTGCTGACCTCGTGGTCCACCTGCCTCGGCCTCTTGCTGGGATTACAGGTGTGAGCAACCGTGCCTGGCCTGAAACCAAGTCTTAAAGTATCAATTTATTAGGTTTCCTCACCACAGCTGCTTTACACCAAGACTTCTGTTTGGTTTCTCTGGTGTTTTTAAATCACGGACTCTCAGGTTTCCTCAATATGTGTTTCAGATTTAGTAATTTCATTTAGCATTTCCCAAACTATTTCACCATTAAAGGGTGGTGAAAAGAGCAAATTAAAACAAACAGAACATTCTCGTCCAAAAACTCTTCTGCGATTGGTGGATTGTCCTCTCGATTCTTAAGAAAACTAACATGCCTCTCTAACTCATTAATTTATTATTTTTTATTTTTTTGAGGCAAGGTTTGACTCCTCACCTCAGCCTCTCAAGTACCTGGTATTACAGGTGCCCACCACCACGCCAGGTTAATTTTTGTGTTTTCAGTAGGGACGAGGTTTCACCATGTTGGCCAGGCTGGTTTCACACTCCTGAGCTCAAGTGATCCGCCCGCCTCCGCATCCCAAAGTGAAACCGCCTTTGCAAAATTATAACTGAGGAAATTATGACAGTGAAGGAAATCAAACCTAACCAATTCTATCTTGCTTCTAACCGTTAAGCTGTCCTTGTTCAATCCTGGGCGTGGGCTGAACTAATTTTGGGAAGGAATTCAGTTCATGGTTTGATTGTGAAACAAAATTGGTAACAGCTCTTTCCGAAAAGACCCCTTTCTTGCCTGGGCACCAGTCTGCTTTTGCAGGACTACCAGATTAACTATAAGATTAGAAATTACAGTTTAGGGGTCATGCAGTCTCTGGCTCCAAGGGTCTGAATCTCCCCAAATTGCTCCTGGGGGTAATATCACTATTGTAAGCACTAAGATCAGTGCTTGAGATATTTTGTAGACCCTGCACTCAGTTAATCAGCTGACACCACCCAGACCAGTAATCTGGCTCAACCAGTTGTTCCATCACACCCAGGAATAGAAGATATTAAGAAAACCTCACTTCGACCCCTTATGATTCCATCTTCAACCTGACCAATCAGCACTCCTTACCTCCCAGGCCCCTACCAGCCAAATTATCGGTAAAAACCCTGATCCCCAAATGCTCATGGCAACTGATTTTAGTAATAATAAAACTCTGGTCTTCCGCACAGCTGGCTCTGCGTGAATTACTCTTTCTCCATTGCAATTCTCCTGTCCTGATAAATTGGTTTTGTCTAGGCAGCTGGCAAGGTGGACCCATTGGGCGGTGACAAAAGCTCTGGGATTCCAGGTGTGAGCCACCGCGCCCGGCCCCATTAAGCCATTTTTAAAAGTGGTGATACAAAAAAGTATTTCCAAACAGGGTGTTCCCTTGCTTCATAGTCTCTTTGGTGATGGTTCTCCAACAAATTTTGATAATCATTATATTGAGAAACTGCTTCAGATTCGACCTCTTAGGCTGATAACAGCGTTAACTACAATTCCCAGCAAACCGTGGGGCAAACCTGAACCTCTGCCGGCCTCTTATTGGATACAATAGCCAGGATGACGACCCAATCAGTGCTTCGGTTGTTGCTTTGCGGCGCTTTCCGCGGGGAAACTGTGTAATGAGTGGGGAAACTTAAAAGTTGGAGGCTGCAGACCCGGTATTGGAAAGTTTCATGTGGGGTGCCATTGTGGGGAAGTGGGGCTCGCTCATTATTTCCTGCTCCCACCGTAGGCCCGTGGGTGTCGATATTAGCGATATTGTCCTTTACGTGCTGGGCATGCTCCCTTAAGACTGTCGGGATCTTCACTAAGAACCCCGCCGCGAATCGGGTGAGCTTCGGGCAGTCTTTCGGTGGGGAATGCTTGGAAGCTGCTCATTGTTGGGTAAACCTCTTTTTAGGGGATTCTGGGTTATTTTTCCGCCTGTTGATGCCCATCTTCCTCCCTAGCCCCCTTCCCGCTTCAGGTAGTTTGGGGTCTAAGCAAGGGAGCCTGTCATTAGGGGAAGTTGAGTGACTGTCGCACTTCGGGTGGTGGTGGAGAGTGTGGAATCTGGAGTCCGGCCCCAAGATTCGAATGTGAGCTTCACACGAATTATTTAGCTGTTTGACTTTGCCCAGGTTTCTCAACTTGGTGCCTCAGTATCCTTATCAGTAAAGTGAGTTAAAACACCCGAAGCCTTTGGAAGAGTGTGGCACGTAATAAGGACTCAATAAATATTAGCTATTATTGTTCCTAAACAGTTATAGTAGAACATTTAACATGAAGAATTTTCTTTTCTTGGTGGTGAGGAGGAGAGGGTCCATTCTCCAGGGTTGACTGTTTCCCCTCATGTGCAGTACACAGAGGGGCGTTCTTGCACACATACACAGCAGGAATTTACGTGCTCCGGTGGAAAAACAAACTTGCAAGCCATAATAATACTTTGATAAGATTATCGAACAGATATGTACGAAGTTGACGAGAACACTGGAGAGGAAAATACTCTGGGGAAGGATTTGTGGAGGGAAGTCAGGGATACAGGATGATAGTTGCCTACCCTGCCAATACACATGCATAACATGGCTGGAGGGCAGGTCATGTGAGAGTCAGTAAATGATTATTGCTGAATGAATTGTTAATGATGATTGCTGACATTAAGTGCCAGGCATTACCTGACTCCTTTAACCTTCATTACAGTCATGTGAAGTAGTAAATTCATATGACTGTAGTTTCCTACTTCGTATGACTAAAACAAGGGTTTTAAGGAAATAAAGACACTGACAGGTGAGGTAACTGCCAGGAAGGCTAGGATCTGAACCTTGCAGTGTGATGTATGAGTGAGAAGGAAGCGAGGGACGAATTTTTGATGTTTTTTTATGTGACCCTAAGAAGTTAGGAATTTATCCTGTGGTCTACTAGTCCCATGGGAAGTGTTAAAGGATAAGCATGACTTTTTAGGAAGTTACTCAGAGCAGGATTGTGACACTGGTCTGACTTTTGCAGGAGAATTTGGGGCTTCTTCCTGTCTGCTCCTATAGCACATTTAAATAGCAGTTGCAATACTTACTGCATGGCTGTAGTTATTTGTGTGTACATCTCTTTTCATCTCTTAACTATTAGTATTCAAAGGAGAGGGGAAATGCTTAAGTGATTCTTGTATCCTGGAGCTCAGCAGGGTGTGTACTTAAGTGTCCATGGAAGGAGCAAATTAAGGAACAAATGAATGGAGTGGCTAGAAACAATATGCAATTGTCCAGGCAAGTGATGGGAGTGGCCCTAATAAGGCAGAGATAGCAGAATTGGTTGTTTTAAAAGTCCCTGTAGTTTAGAATTTATAGTTTTGTTTTTTTGTTTTTGACAGGGTCTCTGTCTGTTCCTTAGGCTAGAGTCCAGTGGCATGATCATAGCTCACTGCATCCTTGACCTCCTGGGCTCAGGCGATCCTCTCATCTGAGCCTCCTCAGTAGCTAGGACTACTATAGGTGTGCGCCACAATGCCCAGCTAATTTTTGTATTTTTTTTTGTAAAGACAGCTTCTCTCTATGTTGCCCAGGCTAGTTTTGAACTCCTGGGCTCAAGCAATTTGCCTGCCTTGGCCTCCCAAAGTGCTAAGATTACAGGCGTGTGCCATCTCTTGCGGCCTATAGTTTTTTTTTTTTTTTTTTTTTTTTAAGTGAATTGAATTTTTCAGTCTAAATGGTGTCATTAACTGAAACTACCTGATCCAAAAAGACACTAGGCAGTGTTATAGCACATATCACTTGGTTTTCTATTGGGGAAAACAAATCTCTAAGAAATTCCCATAGAGAGAAATGAAGAGGATATATTTTGTGTTTTTGAGAGGTGTGTATGTATGTATTGTGTGTTAAGAGAGAGAGATTGATTCAATCTGATTCAGAGAATTTGGGTGTTAGATAGAAATGTGGGCCATGGTATTGGAAATAAACAAATATTTATATCCTCAGTATACATACATTTTTATTTTTAAATGTTAATTCTTTTCTGATAACTCTATTGCTTTATTTCTTGGATTCATTAAGAGTTCTTGTTTCAGTTCTTTCCAGAAGTATTTCTTTACCATCTCAATGAGATATATGACTTCTTCTTTGTATGCATTAAGAGACTCACAGTAATTATTATTATTATTATTATTTTTGAGACAGAGTCTTGCTCTGTTACCCATGCTAGAGTGCAGTGACACAATCTTGGCTCACTGCAACCTCCGCTTCCCAGGTTCAAGTTATCCTCTTGCCTGAGCCTCCCGAGTAGATGGGACTACAGACACATGCTACCACACCTGGCTAATTTTTTATATTTTTAGTAGAGACAGGTTTCACTGTGTTAGCCAGGATGGTCTCGATCTCCTGATCTCGTGATCTGCCTGCCTCCTCCCAAAGTGCTGGGATTACAGGTGTGAGTCATCATGCCTGTCCACAGTAATTCTTTTGTAGCTCTCTAAAGATAAATATTTCATGAGCCTCATTTACTTCTAGCAAGGTACAAGAGTGAAATTTAACTGCATATGAGAATATAAGCAGCTCATGCCTATAATCCCAGCACTTTAGGAGGTCAAGGTGGGAGAATCACTTGAGCCCAGGAGTTTGAGACTGGCTTGGGCAACATGGCAAAACCCTGTCTCTACAAAAAATACAAAAATTCGGTGAGCATGGTCACGGCCGTGTCTCTACAGAAGATATAAAAATTAGCTAGGCATGGTGGTGCATGCTATGGTCCCAGCTACTTGGGAGGCTGAGGTAGGAGGATTGCTTGAGCCCAGGAGGTGGAGGTTGAGGTGAGCTGAGATCACACCACCACACTCTAGCTGGGGTGACAGAGCCAGACCCTGTCTCAAAAAAAAAAAAAAATATATATATATATATATATACACACACATACACACACACATATATACGTGTATATATATGTATATATGTATATATATCAACATTTTTGCTGCAGTGATAAAATTTCATTTGATTCAGAAGGTGTATTCTGACTCCTAGAAAAGGGAAAAGTTAAATATGATTATGGGCCGGGCGCGGGGGCTCAAGCCTGTAATCCCAGCACTTTGGGAGGCCGAGGCGGGTGGATCACGAGGTCAAGAGAGCGAGACCATCCTGGTCAACATGGTGAAACCCCGTCTCTACTAAAAATACAAAAAATTAGCTGGGCATGGTGGCGCGTGCCTGTAATCCCAGCTACTCAGGAGGCTGAGGCGGGAGAATTGCCTGAACCCAGGAGGCGGAGTTTGCGGTGAGCCGAGATTGCGCCATTGCACTTCAGCCTGGGTAACGAGAGCGAAACTCTGTCTCAAAAAAAAAAAAATATGATTATGGACTTGCAGTAGAGTGTAATGATTAAGAAGATAGGTTTCAGAGTCAGACTGCCTGGGTTGAAATTCTGGATCAGTCATTTATGTTTTCTGGTGACAGTGGACTAGCTAACTTTTCCAGGCTTTAGTTTTCTCATATTTAAAAAAAGGGGCCAATAATCTACTTTCCTTCTAGGGTTGTTGAGAAGATTAAATGTAATAATTTAGATAAGTTTTGGAACAATGCCTGGTATGTGGTAGGTGCTCAATAAATAGAGCTATTACTGTTACAGTGCAGTGCAAATTGTTACAGTGCAATATACTTTCTAGTGATTCTGTTTGTAAATATGCCTTGAAAGTTAATTACATATCCAAATAAAATTGATACATACATTGAACATTTTGAGATGCTCCACAAATGTGAAGTGTACTATATTCATGTAGTAAGTATCAAATAAGTGTGTGAAATTATATTTGAGGTTGCCTTGTTTCTCTGTGTGCCTGTTTGACAAACAATTGTCTTTCCTAGTTAAAACATTTAAAAAGATTCTACTGCATTCCTTTATCAGTAATATTTTTAACACAGTATGTTTCATTTTACATATGGAAAAACTTGAGGAATTTTTTATTTTGTTTTGGATAGCCTATTCACTGTCACTTACGTTATATTCTGATGTTTTTTCATGGTTCTTCTTTTCTTTGCTGGATCTGGAGATATGGGCAGCAAGAAACTAAAACGAGTGGGTTTATCACAAGAGTTGTGTGACCGTCTGAGTAGACATCAGATTCTTACCTGTCAGGTAAATTCTATTTAAAATTTCCATTGAGAAGTTTTATGCACAAATTAACTTTATACCTTAATACCTCTTAAACTTAAAATGTGAGAATGTAGGCTTACGAAAACAACATAAATGATGGTGCTTTTCCATAGGCTAATTGTAAATATCAAGCCTCCTTGGGTACATTTCCAATTGTAACTTCATTTACCCAAATTTAGTATTTTTGCATTTTGAGGGGAGAGTGGTCGTGGCATAAGGTGAAGTACACCTTTGCTGTTTATTTGTAGTTATGTGAGAAATAGAACTCAAATGAGTAGATACTATTTAAAATGTATCCTTTCTTTTATAAAAGCAAGATAAATTAATAGTTAGACCATTTTCTTATTGATGAAGCATGAGAAATGTATAGAGAAGACCTTGCAAGGTAGTGAAGCAAATCCTCCTTAGCAGGGTAAATAAGATTTAAGGGTTTTGGTTGTTTCTATTTTTTTGAGACTAGGTTCTCATGTTGCCCAGGCTGATCTCAAACTCCTGGACTTAAGCAATCCTCTGGCCTCAACTCGCAAGTAGCTAGGATTATACGCATATACTACTGTGCCTGGCTAGATTTAAGGTTTTATCTTAGGATCTTATCCTTTTGTTTGTTTGTTGGTTTTTGAGTCAGTGTCTTGCTCTGTTGTCCAGGCTGGAGTGCAGTGGTGCCATCTCGGCTCACTGCAACCTCTACCTCCCAGATTCAAGTGATTCTCCTGCTTCAGCCTCCTGAGTAGCTGGGATTACAGGCATGTGCCACCACATCCAGCTAATTGTCATATTTTTAGTAGAAATAGGGTTTTACCATGTTGGCCAGGTCTCAAATTCCTGATCTCAAGTGATCTGCCTGCCTCAGTCTCCCAAAGTGCTAGGATTATGGACATGAGCCACTGTGCCCAGCCTGATTTTATCCTTAATAAGACATATTCACAGAGCATTCTGCAACTTTTTTTTTTGAATTACTTTCTATGTTAAAGATATCTTTGGTTCCTTTGTTAGACATTTAATTATTTGCATGTTTATATTCGGAAATATTCTTAACAGTATGAAATTTGATATTTTATCCTATAGTCAGTTTCATTCTTTTTCACTTATGAAACATTATCTCTGAGTGAACTTCTAGATTAGAAAGAAACTCTTTCAACCTGACACTTTCTGGGCATATATTTATACCCAAATTCTTTTTGGCATAGTGTAGTGCTCATATACACCTGGATTGGATACTGCTGCTATGTGGTGTTATTTGGTGTATCCTCTGTTATATGCCAACTAAACAGCGTAAATAGAAGATAAGTCTGTGTCATTATAACTTTTAGTTAAGGCATATTTTTGGGGAAAATACTATAATGAATGCTTAAATCTTTGATCTGCAATAAATTACACTTTTGTCTACATGAGCAGTATCGATTGAAGGTTTCCTTTTAACTCTAATATCTTTGTTACACATATATGTTTAAAATATTCTCTTTATGTTTCTTTAGGACTTTTTATGTCTTTCCCCACTGGAGCTTATGAAGGTGACTGGTCTGAGTTATCGAGGTGTCCATGAACTTCTGTGTACGGTCAGCAGGGCCTGTGCCCCAAAGATGCAAACGGTATATGTATATTTTATTATGATTTGATTATGAATGATTTCTTATCTCATTAAACATTTTTTTTTAGGAATGAGGCACATGCAGAATTAGAGATGAATACCTAAAAATATTAAGTTTCCTACCTTAGGAGTTCTCTAAGGAAAATACATGTGAAAATTTTTTCTTTTTTGAGATGGGGTTTCACTCTGTTGCCTAGGCTGGAGTGCAGTTGCATGATCTTGGCTCATTGCAGCCTTTGCCTCCCGGGTTCAAGCCATTCTCCTGCCTCAGGCTCTCAAGTAGCTGGGATTACAGGCATGGTGCTACCACACCCAGCAAATTTTTTTATTCTTAGTAGAGATGAGGTTTCTACCTTGTTGGCTAGGTTGGTCTCAAACTTCTGACCTCAAGTAATCTGCTTGCCTTGTCCTCCCAAAGTGCTGGGATTACAGGCATGAACTACCAAATCTAGCCTATATGTGAAAAACTTGTGTAATTTATAAGCTCTTGGAAGACAATTCCTAAATTTTGGAATTAGGGAGCAACAGAAAGTTTTTATTTTTTGCAGCCAATAGCAGTAGTTCAAAAGGACACTTTTCTCTAATCGATTAGGTAGTATTTGAGGGCCTCATAGCTAAATTGTAATATATTCTTAATTTTAGAATGCCCCTTTCTTTGATATAGTGACCTTTACCATCGTCACTTGCTGTAGATTATAAAGTACACATAATTGTACTTATACTTGCTAGTTAATTGAATAAAAGATAATTCAATATTCTTTATTCTTAAGAAATTTGAAGTCTTTTACAAAAGCCCTCACCAAATCGTACATTTTTTCAGACTTTCTGTGTCATGACTGTAGCTCTTCAAAACGTAGACTTGGAGCATGATAAAAAATACCTCGTTTTCCCACAGTAAGATTTTCCTAAAATTATGTTCAGTGCTTTGCAAATGTATTTATTTATGTGGACTGTAAGTTACTTACCTTACTACCTTATATTGAAATTTAATGAACACCAATCAATGAAGTACAATTCTCTGAAGAAGGGGAGAAGGAAGGAATGTTAGTGTCATTTGAAACTTCTGAAAATGATAAACAGATATTTGAACAACAAATAGTTTCTTTTTTTTTTTTCCCGAGATGAGGTCTGGCTCTGTTGCTCTGGCTGGAGTGTAATGGTATGATCTTGGCTCACTGTAACCTCCACTTCCTGGGCTCAAGCTATCCTCCCACCTCAGCCTCCCGAGTAGCAGGAACTACAGGTACACACCACCGTGCCCAACTAAGTTTTGGGTTTTTTTGTAGAGATGGGGTTTCACCATGTATCCCAGACTGTTCTTGAACTGATGAGCTCAAGTGATCCTCCTGCCTTGGCTTCCCCAGCTGCTGGGATTACAGGCATGAGCCACTGTGCCAAACTGATGAACAGATATTTTCTTTTGTTCAGATTTAACTTGTGATCTGAGGAAACTATCTGAAGGACAGGGTAGTCAGAAGGAGAATCAGAATTGGAGATAGAAATTGGCACTAGTCTTAGCTTTATCATTGATTTCATTGCTTTGAATAGTTTTCTTTGTTTTATGGGAGAAAACAGAAGTTAAAATACTATGCAATGATTCTGTGACTAGATTCACATTAACTTGTTACTATTTTGAAGGTTGTAAAGCACCAGAAAAACCTTTAATTTGTCATCTGTCAATGTAATTGGTCAATATGCATGGCATATTTCCAGTTAAGTAATTAAATAAGAGATTATGGTCCCAAAATTCAACTTTAATTTCTACTTCCATCACTACCTTCAGCTGCCATCTTAATACAATTTCAAATACAATTCAAGAAGCCATCTTTCTCATATGGTTTACATTCATTCTTGTAGCATTCCTTATATTTCAGCACTGCCTTAAACATTGGCTTTGGTTTTTTTTTTCTCTTCAACATTTATTGTAAGTTCCAGGGTATATGTGCAGGATGTGTGGGTTTGTTACATAGGTAAATGTATGCCATGGTGGTTTGCTGTACAAATCATCCTATTACCTATGTATTAAGCCTAGTATCTGTTAGCTATTCTTTCTGATGCTCTCCTTACCCCCCCTGCAACCTCTGACAGGCCCCAGTGTGTGGTGTTCCCTTCCATGTGTCCATGTGTTTTCATTGTTCAGCTCCTACTTATAAATGAGAACACACAGTGTTTTGTTTTCTGCTCCTGCATTAGTATGCTGAGGATAATGGCTTCCAGCTCCATCTATGTCCTTGCAAAGGACATAATCTCATTCCTTTTTATGGTTTCATAGTATTCCATTGTGTATATGTATCACATTTTATTTATTCAGTCTATCATTGATGGGAATATGGGCTGATTTCATGTCTTTGCTATTGTGAAGAATGCTACAGTGACTATATGTGTGCATATATCTTTATAATAGAATGATTTATATTCCTTTGGCTATATATAAATATATATATCCCAGAAGATTAATAAAATAATTTAAAAAACAAATTTCCTTATAGAGTATTAAATTTTATAGTTCTAAATACATCAGAACGATCAAAACCAACAAATAAAATCACCAAAGTCCTTTGTATAATGTCTTATGTACAAACACCAAGGATAAGAAAAGAGAATTTCAAGCCAGGTGCAGTGGCTCACACCTGTAGTCCCAGCACTTTGGGAGGCCGAGGCGGGTAGATCACTTGAGGCCAGGAGTTTGAGATAAGCCTGGCCAACGTGGCGAAAGCCTGTCTCTATTACAAATACAAAAATTAGCAGGGTGTGGTGGCAGGTGCCTCTAATTGCAGCTATTTGAGAGGCTGAAGCAGGAGAATTGCTTGAACCTGGGAAGTGGAGGTTGAAGTGAGCTGAGATTGCACTGCACTCCAGCCTGGGTAACAGAGTAAGACTGAACAAAGAGGAGAATTTCAGAATTTTATTATATTGGAAAAACTTCAGATATGTAGTGTTTCTCCCCTTGTTTGCAGGAAATATGTTTGAAGACCCTCAGTGGATGTCTGAAATTTTGGATAGTACCAAACTATATATATACTATGTTTTTTGGATCTGATAACTGAGATGGCTACTAACTAAGGGGTGGGGAGTGTCTACAGTGTATATATACTTGGAAAGGGATGATTCACATCCAGGTGGGATAATGAGAGATTTCACTGTGCTACTCAGAACAATGTACAATTTAAAACTTATGAATTGTTTATTTCTGGAATTATCCATTTAATATTTTCAGATCAAGGTTGACCATGGGTAACTGAAACATGGGAAGTGAAACCGTGGATAAGGGGGGACTGTTATACTGTGTACCTGGCTTTAGATATAGTCTCTAGTACCAAAAGTTTTTATCCCCACTACTATTACCTTCTTCTGGCTACTATTATTTTTCTTTGGAATGATTGTTATGTCTTCCTGACAGATCTCCCAGCTTTAAGCTGTTCTTTACAAACTAATCCGAGTATCTCTTTGAAACTATGATTTGTATTAGTTGCCTGTGACAGTTCTAACACAAACCATCAAACACTGGTTGGCTTCAGACAACACAAATTTATTCTCTTACAGTTTTGGAGTTCAGAGGTTCAAAATTAAGGTGTAGGCAGAGCTGCATTCTCTCCAGAGGTTCCAGGGGATTATCAGTTCCTTGCCTCTTTCAGCTTTTAGTGGCCATTAGCATTCCTTGGCTTGTAGCTGCTTCTCTCTCCATTCCATCTTCATATAACCTTTTCCTGTGTGTACTGAATTCCCTCTGCGTCTGTCTTATAAGTGAGGGTATTTAGGGTCCACCTGGATATTATCCCTTCATCTTAAGGTCTTTAACTTAATCACATCTGTAAACACCCATTTTGCAAATAAGGTAATATTCACAGAGAGGGCCTAGAGATTTGATTTGGATATCCTGGGGTGGGGGTGGGGTGTCATTTTTCAGCCTACTGCACCTTCCTTCACACTATTCTTCATAAACGAATCTGAGTTTGAATAATAATTTGATCATGTCACTCCTTTTTGCATCTTCAGCAGAGCTGTTCATGGTTAGGCCCGTGCTTACTTCTCTAGCCTCATTGCTTGCTGTGCAACACCCACACTCTATCTTTTAGTCATTCTAGATGAACTGTATGTTTTGCAGTTTTTGTTAGTCTCTGTTTCTTCTCTTGCTTCTTGACCTTTCTTTGTACATTCTGCCCTCTTTGGCAGGAATAGTCATATTTCCTTTGCTCACCTAATAGCTGTTTCAGATTTTAGCACAGGCATCCAGAAATTCCATTACGTTTCCAAAATCCCTATCAGTTATACTTTCCCTATTACAATATCTCTTACTAATGCTGGTATAATTGCCTGGTTTCTAGTCCTAATTTCATAGTCCCCACAGACTTCATAAGACTGTGAGGGCAAGGTCTCTTTCTGTTATGTCATATCCCCATAATCTAGCACAGTCCTTGGCACAGTGTAAATATTTGTTGAACAAATAATAGAAGGGAAAAGGATGGATTAGGGTTAAAGTTGCTAAAACTTAGAGAATTAGAGTTGGTTTGTGTTTTTGAATGTGTATAGAAGTTGAATAAAACTTAATCATTTTCTTGTTCAGGCTTATGGGATAAAAACACAAAGGTCTGCTGATTTCTCACCAGCATTCTTATCTACTACCCTTTCTGCTTTGGATGAAGCCTTGCATGGTGGTGTGGCTTGTGGATCCCTCACAGAGGTAAAGGAAAAATTTTTCATACCTTCTTCCATTGACCTATGATCTTCAGAGCCAGGGAAAAAGTTTAGTTAAAAAACATAAATTAGGGCCGGGTGCGGTGGCTCAAGCCTGTAATCCCAGCACTTTGGGAGGCCAAGGCGGGTGGATCACGAGGTCAAGAGATCAAGACCATCTTGGTCAACATGGTGAAACCCTGTTTCTACTAAAACTACAAAAAATTAGCTGGGCATGGTGGCACGTGCCTGTATCCCAGCTACTGAGGAGGCTGAGGCAGGAGAATTGCCTGAACCCGGGATCCGAGATCGTGCCATTGCACTCCAGCCTGGGTAACAAGAGCGAAACTCCATCTCAAAAAAAAAAAAAAAACACATACATTATTTCTTGAACAGTAATCTGAATTAAATTATAAGCACTTCAAGGATATGGTTCTTCACTCAGTACTTAGTGTGGTTGCTCTGCAAACAGAGATGTTAAAGAGAAAATCCTTGTTGACTGATTAAAATCTACTTAGGTTGCTGTATCTTTGAATTAACTTAGTGATAAATATTGCTGGGTTTGTTTATATATACGTTTATATATAATTATATATATGTTATATATACACATATACATGCATACATAGATTTATGTTATGTACACATATGCAATACATATACATGTCATATATGTAATATGCACACATAAATGACATATATGATTATATCATGCATATAATCCCAGCACTTTGAGCAGCAAGGCAAGACCCTGTGTTTACCAAAAAAAACCGAAAAACAAACAAAACTCATTTAGTCACATGTGGTGGTACATGCTTATGGTCCTAGCTATTCAGAAGGCTGAACTTGAGCCAGGGAGGTCGAGGCTGGAGTGAGCCATGGTCACACCACTGCACTCCAGCCTGGGTGACAGAGGAAGACCGTGTCACAAGAAAAAGAACGTGGTAAATATTATGAAATAATATTATGAAATAATTGGGGGAATTAAAAAAGGATCACTCCTTATAAATTAGGAAGGACAATTTGGCCGGGCGTGGTGGCTCACGCCTATAATCCCAGCACTTTGGGAGGCTGAGGCGGGTGGATCACGAGGTCAAGAGATTGAGACCATCCTGGTCAACAAGGTGAGACTGTCCTGGTCAACAAGGTGAAACCCCATCTCTACTAAAAATACAAAAATTAGCTGGGCATGGTTGTGCGTGCCTGTAGGCCCAGCTACTCTGGCGGCTGAGGCAGGAGAATTGCTTGAACCCAGAAGGCGGAGGTTGCGGTGAGCCGAGATCGTGCCATTGCACTCCAGCCTGGGTAACAAGAGCGAAACTCCGTCTCAAAAAAAAAGGAAGGACAATTTGAAATTTTAGCAACATATAGAAAAATTACAGTATTAAACTGAAGTATGCTAGTTTTAATTTCTGTTATAGATTAAATTTCTTCTAGAAAGTATAGGTTATTGGGTTGGTTAATACTTTTGCAAAACAAATTATGCCAAAACTAAGTGGCTTAAAACAATAAACATTGTGCCAAGGACTAACTCTGTGCCAAGGACTGTGCTTGATTATTTCTTAGTGTCTTTGGGAGTGGTTTAGCTCAAGCAGTGTTGGTGAGGGATGCAGTCATCTGAAGCTTGGTTGGGTCTGTAGGATCTGTTTCTGAGGGGGCCCACTTATGTGACTGGCAAATGGGTACTGGTGGTTGTCAGGAGGGCTCAGTGCCTCCCCAGGTAGGCTCTGCACAGGCTGCTGAGTGTTATGACATGATGGGTGACTTCCCCCAGGGGAGTGGTCTCAAAGAAGGCAAGATGAAAGTGGTGATATCTTTGGCAAGCTAGCTTTGGAAGTTACACACTACTTCTGCCACTTTACGTCATTACAAGTGAGTCATCAAGTCAACATTTAGGGAAAGGGAAATTAGCCTCTACTTTTTTTGTTGTTGAGAGAGAGTCACCCTCTGTTGCCCAGATTGGAGTACAGTGGCACAATCCTGGCTCACTGCAACCTCCGCCTCCTGGGTTCAAGTGAGTAGCTGGTATTGCAGGCATGCATCACCACACCTGGCTAATTTTTGTATTTTTACTAGAGATGGGGTTTCACCCTGTTGTCCGAGCTGGGCTTAAACTCCTGACCTCAGGTAATCCACCCATCTGGGCCTCCCAAAGTGCTGGGATTTACAGGCATGAGCCACTACGCCTGGCCAACCTTTTGAAGAAGTGTCAAGAATTTGAGGACATTTTAAAACCACTGCAGTTATTTTCCTTGAAAACTGCTTACAATGTGGTGACTTGATAGACTATGTTTATCAGTACACTCTTGAGGATTTCTTGCTTGAAAGTTCTAGGGGCATAAATACTTTCAGGAAACTTCAAAATAAGAACAGATTCTTTTCTTACATTCCGATAGTCATAATTTAACTGTAGATTTTTTTCCTTGGAGATAGGGACCCTACTATACCTTATAGTATCTAAAACAGGGTATTTTAAAATAAGGTATTTTATCTCCTGTCTTCCAAGAGAGATTTAAAGATTTATATGAGCTATGCCTAGTAGATGCCTGTTAAATAGTTGGTAAATAAATGAGTGAGTTTGTTATTTATAAAAATGCATACACACACACACACACACACCCTCACCCACCCTTCTGCTTTTGGAATATACTGCCACCAGGTGGTGCCAGAATCATACTTTTTTTTTTTCCTTTTCTTTTTTTTTTTTTTTTTTTTTTTTGAGACGGAGTTTCGCTGTTGTTACCCAGACTGGAGTGCAATGGCATGATCTCGGCTCACTGCAACCTCTGCCTCCCAGGTTCAAGCAATTCTCCTGCCTCAGGCTCCAAAGTATCTGGGACAACCGGATATGCCACCATGCCCAGCTAATTTTGGTATTTTAGTAGAGATGGGGTTTCACCATGTTGGCCAGGATGATGTTGATCTCTTGACCTTGTTATCTGTCCACCTCAATCTCCCAAAGTGCTGGGATTACAGGTGTGAGCAACCCTGCCTGGCCAATACTTACCATGTGTTTTTTTTTTGTGTGTATTGGGAACATTCAAAAGCCCTTCTTCTAGCTGTTTGAAAATATGCAATAAATTGTTGTAAATTATAGTTCCCCTATAGTGCTATAGAAAACTAAGACTTATTCCTCCTATCTTGCTATAATTTTGTATCTGCTAACCAACCTTTGGCTATCTTCCTCTAACATCTACCATCTCAGCTTCTAGTAACCACTATTCTACTCTCCACTTCTATGAGATCAACTTTTTTAGCTTCTACATATGAGTGAGGACATACAGTGTTTGTCTTTCTGTGCCTGACATTTTACTCAAAATAATGACTTTCTGTTCTATCCATGTTGTCGCCGATGACAGAATCTCATTCTTTTTTGTGGCTGAATAGTTCTCCATTGTGTGTATATACTACATATTGTTTGTCCATTTGTCTGTTGATGGACCCTTAGGTTGATTCCATGTCTTGGCTACTTTGCATAGTGCTGCAATAAAAATTGAAGTGTAGATTGACATGCTGATTTCATACTGCCTTTCATACATGCACATGCACATACACACATGTAGAAGTAGGAGAAAGCAAGCAAAATGATAAAGCAAATGGGGCAAAATACTAACAGTGGGGGAATGTGGAAAAACAATACATATATATTCTGTATTCTGTTTTTATTTTTAATTTATTTTTATTTTTGAATTAAAAAAGATACATGGTTTAGTTGTGTCTCCTAGGCTGGAGTGCAGTGGCACAACGATAGCTTACTGCAGCTTCAAACTCCTGGGCTCAAGTGATCCTCAACCTCCAAAGTAGCTAAGATTACAGGTGTGCATCACGACGCCTGGCTAATTTTTAAAATCTTTTGTAGAGATGAGGGCTTGCTATGTTGCCCAGACTGGTCTTGAACTCCTGGCCCTAAATGATCCCCTCTGCCCTGGCCTCCCAAAGTGTTGGGATTACCGGTGTGAGCAACTGTGCCTGGCCTTCTGTTTCTATTAATACCATTTTCCTGTAAGTTAAAAATTATTTCTAGATAAAAACAAAACAAAACAAAAAAACCTATGATGTTTGCTGTATTTGGTAGATATCCTTGATCAGAAATAAAGAACTTTCCTTCATTTCCTAGCTAAAATACTAATTTGTTAAATTTTATCAAAAGCTTTTTTTCTGCATTGATTGAAATGATTATGTTATTTTTCTTCTTTGGTCTGATAATGTGTTGAGTAACATTTAATAGATTTTTCTGATGTTGAACTACTATTGCATTTTTGGGACAAGTGCAACTTGGTCATGATATATTACCTTTTTTAAAGTAAACTATTGTGGATTCAGTTTGCTAATATTTAAGATTTTTCAATATTTAAGATGGATATTGAGCTGTAATTTTCCTTTTAGTAGTGTCTTTGTCTGAATTAGAATCTGTCTTATACTAGTTTGGTAGAATGGATTATGGAATATCTCTTTTTTTAATATTCTGCAACAGTTTGCATATGATGGGAATTATTTGTTCCTTGAAGATTTGGTAGACCTTGACTGAAAAATTGTCTGATCTTGGTATTTTTCCTTCTGAGAAGAGTTTAAAAAATTCAATTCCTTTATGTTGGGGTCCGACACGTCTGCTGGGGGGCTACCAACCTGCGGGAGTCCCTGAGACCACCAACGTAGATGTCTCTTTCAACCTGAGGGAGAGAGTGCGTGGAAGTGAAAGAAGAAAGAAAAGCGGAGTCTGGAGGTCTGAATGACTTGTAGTCAAGCAGCAGCTTTATTTTTGTGGGTTACAGCTTTTATACCTTTTTTCTTGTTACATTTACTTTAGCTCAGCAGAAAAGGGGGCAAACAGAAAAGGGAACAGAAATCACGTAAAAAAGTTATCAGGGGCTTGTGATAACAGCTCACAAAGCAGTCTAAGGGGGTTTATGATAATAGCTTACAAAGCAGTTTAAGAGTTAATCTATGTTTTTCAAAGATACACAGTGCAAGCAAACAATGGTGCCCTTAAGGTGGCTTGTTAATCAT